TCTGCTCAGTGTATATTCTCTGCTCTACTCTTTTGCTATCAACACCATTCTATATCATTTCTGACAAAACATTAGGGATATGTTTAAAAATTCCCATTTTCGTTAATATTTCAATTCATTTTCTCATCAATGTGTGAGAGTTTAGGGCAAACACAAAAAAAAAAAAGAATGCAACCATTTTTGGCATTTACTTAATCATATTTAGTTATTTTGACATAATTGTTTTATGTCCTACGCTGCTAACAAGAAAAAATTGTGTTAAAGTAACTGAATATGATTAAGTAAATGCCAAAAATGGTTGCATTCTGCGACAGGGGAATTTCTCAGCATGCATCTGCCCACCAAAACAAAATTTTAGGGCATCCATGCATAAGAAATATGAAAACATTAAGGATATGTTTAAAAGTTCCTTTTTTGTTCATGTTTCCATCCGTGTGCGAGAAGGAAGGTTATTCTCGGCAGGCAGGTATTTCTCAGTATAACACTGGCGTTTTGTTTTGCTACCACCAACATACACACACAGTTTTTGCAGTTGTGTAGTTTACTGTTGTCTCACTTCTTAAACACATGAGCAGAAGAGGAGTAGCTACAGCTGTTGGATGGAAGATGAGGTACAGGCTTTTTTAAGCATTTTTGCTAAGGAGGACATTTAGCAGGAGTTTGAGTTGGCGATGACCTCATCTATACCATGATTGCAGCCTGACTGGCCAAAATAAATTTTCTCTACACGACAAAGCAAGTGCGGGACAAGCTAAAAATAAAATGAAACAGGACTACAAGGCTGGAGGATCACAATAATCCAAGCAGATCAGACTGCCTGGAAAAAGCACTGGTAGGACCAGCTGTATGCGATCCTGTGACACAGGCCTGCATATCCCGTCACTGTGTTGGAGGATGTTACTCAAGAAGAGCTCTTGGACATGGACTATAGTCGGACAAAGTGGCCTGTTTTTACATGTTCTTATTACAGGAGGAGGGGAAGTGTCATGATCTTCTAACTGATGGCTGGCCTGATTATAATTTCATTCACCTGCCGAACTCTGCCCAGTCTCCAATTTCCGCTCATCTAATCTACCTCCTCTTGCTTCTATATATGCAACCAGATTATTGCCAATGTTGATGCTCTAGTTCATGTTCTCATTCTCGGGGGCCAGTGAAGAGAGGTTTTTATTTTTGGGGGCGTTTTCCTTAGTGTTCCTGATGTCCTGATCCCAATCTGCCTCTTATCCACTCAGTGTGCCCTGTTTCTTTCTTGGCTCAGTGGAGATAGCATTTTTTTAGTGTTCTGAAATGTTCCTGATATCCTGACCTATTCTGCCTCTCAACCACTGAGCTTGCCTGTTCCCATCTGAACGTTCTGCCCGACGCATCTTGTTGGCAGCCCATCGGTTGGATCCTACCTTGTTCTGTGGAGATTAACTGTTAAACCAGGTTAGTGGCTCATATGGATAATCATTCTCCGTCAGATTATCATGCTTGCTAACCTGTGTTTCTCTTAAACCAGAGTTCCAGTGATGGGTGGTGCCCAGCAATAGCCGCTGCAGATCCGCCTGAGATTTAATAAATGCTTTGAATCATCCCTGTTCTGTATTCTGTCCTGCTTCTGACAGAAAATTTGTACAAAAACACATGCGCAACTACGCTTTGTTCATGATCTCGCTCCAACATGTGGTGTTGTTTCCGTTTTTTGGCAACCACGTTGCTATGTTGATTTGCATGATTGTCCCAGGACCTTTCAAAGTAATGGAAAAGGAACATGCCTGGGGCTTAAAAACCCCAGGCTATGATTATTGTCTATTGTCAGAAGAATAATTACATAGATTCAAACAATTAGAACTTAATTAATTAGCAAGACTAAAATATGACTTTTACTATCACACACAATAAGCAGGAAACTAAAAAAATATCCTCAAACATTATATTTAAATCACTGCAACAATGGCACCTCCAGTCTCCATAATGGGATATAAACTACAGTACATATCAGTTGTTATTTTTGATGTAACAGAAAGTTTAGGGAAAAAGGCTCTTTTTTCCAAAACAAACATAAATATATTCTGGTTAGACTTTGGTCAACAATTAACCAACCAGGTAGGATTGGATTAAAAAAATGAGACAATGAGGAAAACAATCCAATTTAAACTTGTCAAAGGTTATATCATGTTGTGGGACTGTTTCTTTTCCAACTATTTGAATTCAACATCTGTTGCTCTGCACCAGAACTGAACGTCTCTCACCACTGGGTATTTCAGTAATAAAAACAACACATAACACTTTACCAAATTAACATAAAATATTCATGTTGATATGGTTATCTCTGGTTATCTGGTTATTTCTTCCCTCATACCTAAATCTTATAGAACACATGTGGAGTGCAAAAAAGATGATCTAGGACTGTGGGTTGTCTAGAGAGGGTGCACAGATGAATGTTTCAAATTTCCTAAAAACTTCTATTGAAACAATGTACAAAAATTAAAGACGTTTCAGTTTAAAACAACAGATAACAATTTAACTGATATCTCTGCAATGATCCAAAAAGCAAGGCTAATATTTTAAAATTTCAAACACATTTAAAATGTTAACATTAAAGATCTAGATGATCTGTTTTAATCCTTGAGGTTTTAGGCTGAAAGGATTTCACCTCATTGTGTTTGAAAGTGTGAGCAGGAAGTTGATGGGTTTGAATATTATGTCTGTTTCCCTGCACTGCGGCAGAGGCAGATGATCTGGTGCTGGAGTGTCTGTAAGCAACTGAGAGAGAGACACAGTAAGATGGAGCATGCTGCAGAATCTGACATGCCATCCATATTCAAAGATTAACACATGTCTTTACAGATGGCTTTACATGGATGAGGTGTGTGCAGATTTTGTGTGATATAAACATTTCTCTAAACAATATGGGAGCTGTTCGTCTCCAAGCAAACAGAAAACCTAAAGTGACAAGTAACAACTGGAAAACGTGTTGTGTCCTTGCAGAGGAACATTTGGGGATCAGGAACATGATCTTAATGTTGCACAGCAGCATGAAGGCTGTCAGTGCTGCATTATTCCCTGTAGACGGCCTTTTGCAACAGAAACCTGCAACAAATCTGTGAAACTGCAGATTTCTCTGTACATTGTGACAGATCTTGGTACATCCTCTTTTATTTAAGTGTGTTTTCTAAACTTGATTTAAATATCTGGAATTGATATTATGATGTGCATTGATTATCTGATTAAATTAAATAGAGTGGAATTAGGATTAATCCAGTGAGTTTCTAATCTCTATAAATTGTCTTTCTGTTTTTTGTCTTCAGGGATGCTGTGATTGGGAAAGTGTTAACACAGCACTAAGATTGGTCCTTAAACGGCTCTGAAATGAACTCTGAACTATCACCTCATGCTAGGTTGAGGCCTCAGAGTAAAAATTACAAGTGAGTGGGTCACAGGGCTCCCTTTGCCAGTCCAGATGTTAACCTGATTTACTAATACGGACAGTTTATGTGGCGCAGTTATGTTTCCTCATGATCAATGTTTAAATGTGTATCGATGTCAACAAAGATAGCATTGGCAACAAATGGTTATTCAGTTCTCTTAACAGTAAATTTCGAAGCCCTTCTTAGGTCTTCCTTTTCTTTCCGTTGACAGTGTGAAGATCAAAAGACAAAAACAGGCACTTTTCAACCCCTATTGTCAGCTAAAACTAATGGAGACATTTTCATTCTCGCTCTGTCTGTAGAAATGTGCTGGTTGAATGAATGACATCTATTTTGACCGTGTACAAGAACACGCAGTTATGCTGATAAACAACTGTACCAAATAACAACAATATTGTAAGTTTGCATAAACATAAGCTTATTTCAACCTGCCTCCTTTTCCACTGGGAGGGATCAATTCAAACAAAATTACCTCTTCAAATTTCTTCATAACCAAAGTTTCTAAAATACTTTTTAAAACTGGATTATATTTGGACATCACTGGAGCTCCTTATTTAATCTTTTCCACAATCTCCCTCTGCAAACAGAAATAGAGAATTGTGTTTGTAATTTATCAAAGTAAATAATCCTTAATTATAACTACTTTGATATAGAAGCAAAAACCCACCAAAATAGCTTATTAACATGTTTGTAACCATGTCAGCTCTACAATTCTGTGCAAAAGTAAAACAGATGTAAAAGGCTCCACACTGAATCTGCTTCCCCAAGTTTGAGCAGTTAGGATTGCTGAAACATTAGACTTCTTTTATGGACCTGTTCTGATCTGCTGTTAGCGTGTTAGCTCCATGTATAAAAATGATGTCCCAGCAGGTCTACACAACAGATGCTACTTCCACAGGGCAATAATCATGTAAAAAAAGGCCACTGGCTCTGGTTCAAGAGGCGCAGCCAACAATTCTATTTAATGCACCATTGCTATGTGAATGTTTTAGACTCAGAAATACGTTTTTTGGAAAGTTCAAAGGTCATGTTTGCAAATATGTTAATCTTGAGGAACCAGCTGGATTCAAAACATATAAAGGACACCCATTCGTCAGTCTCCTCATTGCACAGGCTCAGTGGAAAGCCACATATGCTGCTTGGCATCCCTGCCCCACATTCATGTGGCAACAGGTCAGGCTTATACACTTCTGCAGCACAGTGGGGGGCAGGTGAAGCGTGCTTAAAAAAAAGACGAGACCAGCAAAGATCTTTCTATCTGGCTGTCAAAACAGCACTTTACACAACCCTCTATTTGTGGTGTTGTTTAAAAAAGGTAAGTTATGAAACTATGATTACAGCTTCTTTAACAGCGGCTATGATCTGATATCACGGTTGACGTAATGAAAAATTACACTAATCCCCCATTTTGCTCTAAAATCTGATAAGGTCCTCTTGCATAATTAAGGATTTATGACGACTTAGAGTGATACAGATTTACTGCAAGAGGTTATTTGGGTTATTTTTCACTGAAACAAATTTTGCACAAAAAAACAAACAGAAAAAACAAAAATGGGAAGGAACAAGAAGGTTCCATGACAAGCTTTATTCAACAGTAAACATCAACAAAAAAAAAAGAAAATATTTCATTTCAAAAAAATATTTAAAGCAAACATACATGTCACTGAAAAAAAAGGCAAATGAAGCCTTTAAATAAATACTAACATCAGGAACGATCATTTCAGAACTATAAAACAAGAGACGGTATATACAATCATACAAGTTTAATAGGACATGCTTAGGAGTTTGACGGCACCATTTGTACCAAACACTGACTACAACACAATGGCTGCATAATAACTGACATGGTCACCGAGCCGCCTGAGCCTCCCTTTACAGAAAGGCTTCGCATCAGACAAAAACATCAGCAAATACTTCCTTTTTTATTTGAAAAGTTGGTAATATAATGGTATAGTAATAGGTGTGGGAATGTCTGCCAGTTGACTGATGACTTCTGTCCACAACCACTGGCAGAGCTGCAGACTGAACCGCTGCAAGGCAATGAGAGGAACTTTGGAAGCCTTTGTGTGATTGATCACTTTAAGTTGTTCTAAACCAGGGGGGGTCCACACATCGTTAAGACAAAACAGTCATCTCAGCTAAATATTTCCAAGATGACATGAGAACTCACATCATGCATTAGATAGTGAAAAATACACATAAAAGAAGAATGGAAAAATAGCTTTCTTTGGACAGGGCCAGCCTGTGCAGTTGGATTACTTGTTTCCCTCGGTCCCATTTTATTTTCATCACACACAAGCCCTTCATTAAAAACTGATCCCTTTTAAAGTATACGTTTCATGTTTAAAGTGTGTAATTGCTAACTTACTCAAACAGCACAGTTTAAGGGCATTGCAAAAGCATTCATAGCCTTTTGGCTTTTTTACAGTTTCACAAATGTTTTATGAGACTAACAGAGGGTAGTTATGAAAAGTTGAAGGAAAAGTATATAAAGTGGAAAGGAATGCATGATTTTCACTTTTTTTAAAAGCAAAATGATGCCTGCATTTGAATTTAATTTGATTTACTCTGACATACCTATACAAAACCCATGGTGAAGGATCTTAATATTTTTAAAAAAGTTTCCTATTGACTAGTTTAATCTCAGTATAAATGCAGCTGTTTTATGAAGGCATCTGAGATTTTTTTGTGAACATAACTGAACAGACAGCTTCTTCATGACTGAGGAACACAGCAGACAGCTAAGGAAGAAAGAACTAGAGAAGTTTTATTTTACTTCATTAAATAAAACCTCAAGCTTTGAAACTCCTAGATAAAAGCTTTCAATTTATAATCGGTAATCAAAGCGGAATAGGAATCAAGAAACAGTCATCTGTCTTGACTAACAAGCCAGACAAGGAGAATATTAATAACAAAAGGTTACTTTTGGTAACCATGAAGCAGAACCAGCTATTAATCCTACACTTAAATTCTTGTTACTGGAGATATATATTAGAGTAAATGTGGTTCTTGGAAAAAAAAACATTGGATGATCTGCAAAACTGGGGACACTATGGTTGTCAAAATACTTTAGATTGAAGCTGGATAGCAACATCCTGAAAAAATGTAGTATATTCTTAACATTTTGAAGAAAAAAAAAATTCGAAGACATAAGGTTATTATTTTACATTAGCTTAAGCTTTGTGCTATGTTTAATATGCCGCTGCTTCCCTTTGTAAAATTACTTTAAACATAAAAATGCGTCTTCAGATTTAGTGTGCTGCTAAAATGCGTAGCCACCACTCAAGACTCCTAAAAGGGATAAACAATGCTTTTGGCTTTTCATCTAATGCATTTTCATTTTTTTTTCTTTGCCAGCATCAATGTTCAGATGTGTGGCTTTAAGAGTGGGTTGTGGCTCTGCACATCTAAAATGCTTCTGTGCAACACTGTGTTCCAGTTTATTAAAATTAAAAAATAATTTGAGGTTATAGAGATTTATTCAATAATATGTTTTGTTCAAAATATAAATTTATTTTTTCTTTTTTCCCTTCGCATATCCAGTCGATCGAGCCAACATGTGGAGGAACATGCTATGATTTAATGGTAGGATTTTTTTTTTTAGCCTATATTATCACAAACATAGAAATGGGAGAGTCATGCCTTTAGAGGAACAGGTTCACATTCCAGCAGGCCACTAACCTTTACTAAATAACCAGAGGTTAAATAGATTGGTTTAGTTCAAGGTATCTTTTGCAAAAAAGGGTATAGGCAGTATGAATACTTTTGCATGGTGTTGCAAACCTTACATCAGCAAAATGACACACATTTTAGCTAAAAGAGGCACGTTGCCCTTTTTCTCTACTCTGGTTTCTTCGTCACTGGTTATTCAAAAAAACAGTGACTACACAGAAGAAAGGGCAGACAGCGATCAGCAGTCCGTTTGTACAGCAGAGATGGTTTTAATCAATGACATATCTGTCCACCGATTACTTAGAGCACAACAGTAATCACAAAGCTGCATTATTGCCACACTTTGTAACACAAGCACTTCAATCATTATTGCTTTACGGTCAGAAGCGCAGAACTCACAGCTGCAGACACATAACCATGAAGCCAAAGATTTAAGGTGTCGACAAAAAGCGCCCGATTTTTGCTCCACTGCCGTTCTCACCTACAGTAAGAAATGCTTATTGAAGGTCGAGAGACTCTATTGTGCCGACACATAAACTATAGTTGTCTTGGAAGAATAGAGTTTTGAGTGCTACATTAGATCAATGCATATCCACAGGCATTTTACAGTATTGGTAAATTTTACTGACCTTCTGGGTACATGAAATTAAAGGCATTATTTTTCAAACTGCATACAACTGAAAAAAGTGCCAACATTGTAATGCTACAAATCTTTTTTGAAGTATATCCGATAAAACACAGTAAATTTTCAACAGGAGCCAAGCAGCAATGATCTTACATTTTTTTAAAACAGCCTTTTTCATCCCTTTAAGTACTCAAGCACTTCGTCGTAGAGAACACCCCACAGCTCACAGCTGGAAACTTGTGTGTTTATGCTTCTGATGGCAACAAAAAGCCGATTTACCTTCCTATTTCTGATACATTAGCAGTAATAGTGACTCCTGTAGTGAATGAAACCTTTCCAAACTTTTACTCCTATTTTCTGAACCGTTTTCTGCAGTTGTTTTTGCAAATAGAGACCCCTACCAGCCTGTGCTACATGCTCCACTGAAAGTTTGTGGAGCAGCGCCGTGAACAGCTACACAGCCACCGATCTTCAGCCCATGCAGGTGGATGAAAGGTGCAGCAGCACTACCTTCTCCAGCTCACATCACCACTGAGATGGTTAGAACTCCTCTCTGAGTGTTGGCTCTCGGTGAGTTTTGCTTCTATTCTCCCTCTGTTCTGTCATCTGGATAGGGTAAAACAGGCGACATTTCACACCACTTTTAGAGAGGGAAAGTTGCTTTTTTGCTAATTCCCAACAGATGCATGCTAGATTTATGTAGGTTTGTTAGAAAAATATATATTGAGATTGTTGAGAGGCATTGATGTCGCAAGCTTAAACATTGCAGACTTTCATAAAATTAGGATAAAATTAAGATGTGCCTGTGGATTGTCAGACAGATGAAACACTGTTCTAGTTTGTTGAACAAAATTACCTTACTGATACTGTTTTATTTGAAAAGTGTAATAAAAAGAAACATGGGTTATGAACTCAAAGGTTCAGGAGAGAGTGGACAGCTAAGTGTCCGTCTCTTCTGAGGGTTTGTTTGGTATTCGGGGGGGTGAGGGAAGGATTCAGCAGGATAGCCCTGATAAAACCATCATGCCCACCCCCCCTTCCCCGAGACCAAATAGGCTGGGGCTGGGAGTCGCGTACGAGGAGCTGAGCCCTGTTCTCTCCTCCTTCACATCACCGAGCAGCTCTTGGTCTTTTCCTTCTTGAAGGTGGAGGAGAGAAGGTCCGACTTGCTGGGCAGGTGAAGGAGTCTTTTGGAGAGCCGACGGGGAGGGCTGGACTTTGGGAGGGGCTGTAGTTTGTTGATGCAGGCCATTGCTGCAGTACGAAACACGCTGTGAATACTTTTCTCCGAGGTGAAGGCCGAGCACTCCAAATAGGCTTCAGCACCAAGTTGCTTGGCCATAGCAGAGCCCTGCAGTTAATCACATCACAAAATACCCGTTATTAATTTCCACAAAAAGATAGCAGGTCACATCTTTTTTTTTTTTTTTTACCACATTTAGTGCTAAGAAAGTCCTTTAATTATTAAAATTTTCTCTTTTTATTTCTTTGCTCTGTTGTCACTCTTAAATCTATCAAATCTTTAAAAAAATTTTGCTCAGAAAAAACAAAATTCTGCTGTTTTCAAATGATAGCTCCATTGATAAAAAGAAATAAAAGGATAGGCGATGTAAAGAAATTTAAAAACACATATGAAAAACAAGCTAAAAACATTCTGACAAATGTTACAACACTCCTAAAACTTTAGGACCCAAGTGTTATAGATTTAGATGTGCAAATAGAAAAATTTCTCCTATGTCAAAGCCTCATCTGGGAGTTCAACCAATAACCCATAACAACATCTGAAGCCCTACATGCCTCACTCACTACAGTCAACTTTCATACTTAAAAAGTAGAAGAAGGACAAAAATTACTTCTATGGGAGATTTCCAAATCAAAACCCCATCCTGTTCAATTAAACAAAGGGTTGTTTCAGCTTCCCCTAAAAACTGCTTAATCATCAGAAAGAATATGACACAATATGTACTAATCAGAGATGAATTAATACAATTTAGAATTTCTTATTGATATTGTTTTTTCTAAATCGTTGACCTATTCCGGTTTCTCTTTCAAATCTGTGACATTGAGGAATAGTATAGTATATAGTATAATAGTAATTCAATATTTATTCTACACGTTTCTGTGAAGAATAATTAATAAAAAAAATAATAAAATCAGCTGAGTGAGGCTTTCTTTGAGAGAGCATTTTGCTTGAGAGAGCAATAATGTTATAAAATATTTTAAAACAAAAACATTATGAATACAGAGTACACAATCTCAATAGATTTTTTTTTTTATCTTGGTGATCTGTGTGGCCTTTATGCTAAATGCAGCCAGCATTGCTAGCAGTTCCTATGTTTATTCTCTTTAAAATAAACCCTTACCTTAAGAATTGCAAATATGCCAACATTTGAAAATTTAGCATTTCTCCACAACACATCAACTTTACTTTACGCAGCTCAGCTTTTCTGTTATATTGTGAAAGTTCGACTTTCTCTTGTAGCCTAAGCAGGATTTTTTTCTCTTGAATAATTAACCACCAAGATCGTCAGTAAATTTCACTAAGCACAAAACTACATCCGATTACAGTTTAAACTAAATTTAAATGTTAATTATTACAAGCAAAATCAAACAAATTTGAATTACATCCTACTGAATAAAGCAATCAGTAGTGCAGCGCTGGCAGTTATTTTGCTAATTTCCTGATTTCTCACTGATAAGCAGGATTCTCTAGAAGCCAGACTTTGGTTAGGCTGGGAAAACTACAGAACCACATAGTCCCACATGCCCCTCAACAGAAAATATCTCCAAAACTATTTACTGGCCAAATGTTTTTCAATTTAAATTACTCTTATTCACTACTGCTTGTATTTGATTCCTTATAACTTAATTTTTTTTTTATTTTCAGAAAAACAGTAAGTAGGTTAATTGTTGCCATTTAAACTCATAATCATGCAGGACTTCAATTATTATTTTCCCGTCCAGGAAAAAACATGGAATAGTTAGTTAGTTACTTAGTTAGTTAAAACATTAAATAAATAAAATCTCTCAACTGGATCATTTTGGCTGCCTGTGTGTGATAGAGAAAAATACTAAATCGGCCTTTTAGCTATTTTATCAATGCTTTATAGAAACTAAGACAAAAAAGGAAAGAATTATTTATTTTTTCTAAAACTTAAAAATAACTAATGGAAAAGTTGCGGATAAAGCTTTCTTCATGTGCACACTATGTTTCTGCTGCTTTTAAAGCCTTAGCAAAACCAACCAAAAACAGACGAACAAGAAGATGATAATTTACATTTTCAGCAGCTTCCATGTTTTAGCCAGTCACTGCTCACTGATAGGCTGGATGGTATCTGTTTTTGTTTTAGGAAAAGAGCTCTGATTAGAAAGCCATCACTTATCTAAACTGCAGGAGCTCTTCATCACAACGATGCAAACTGTGGCAAAGAAATTAAACATTCATTCTCCCTCCGCTGCAGCACTGCTAGCTGAAGTCACTTTCATGACCTAAAAACTAAGGATGCAAAGGATAAAGTGCACAATCAATTAAAATTTTAACATATTAAACCTTGCAACATTAATGTGCAGGTAGTCCAGTTTGATCTAAAAATATACTTGAACTTAGAAGAAAGGATGGAGTAGTTGCATACTGTCCAAGAAAGACCAGCAAGTGCCAGGGCCGTCTCTTAAAAGTGTTTCAGCTACGGGATCAGGCTACCAGCAGTGCAGAGCTTGCTCAGGAATGGCAGCAGGCAGGTGTGGGTGCATCCGCACGCACCGTGAGGTGGAGACTCTTGGAGCAAGGTCTGGTCTCAAGGAGGGCAACAAAGAAGCCACTTCTCTCCAGGAAAAATATCAGGGACAGACTGATATTCTGCAAAAGGTACAGGGAGTGGACTGCTGAGGACTGGGGTAAAGTCATGTTCTCTGATGAATCCCCTTTCCGATTGTTTGGGACATCTGGAAAACAGCTTGTTCGGAGAAGACGAGGTGAGCGCTACCACCAGTCTTGTCTCATGCCAACTGTACAGCATCCTGAAACCATTCATGTGTGGGGTTGCTTCTCAGCCAAGGGAATCGCCTCTCTCACAGTCTTACCTAAAAACACAGCCATGAATAAAGGTGCCAGAATGTCCTCCGAGAGCAACTTCTCCCAACCGTCCAAGAGCAGTTTGGTGATGAACAATGCCTTTTCCAGCATGATGGAGCACCTTGCCATAAAGCAAAGGTGATATCTAACTGGCTCAGGGAACAAAACAGAGATTTTGGGTCAATGGCCTGGAAACTCCCCTGATCTTAATCCCATTGAAAACTTGTGGTCAATCATCAAGAGACGGAAGGACAAACGAAAACCTAGGAATTCTGACAAAATGCAAGCATTGATTGTGCAAGAATGGACTGGTATCAGTCAGGGTTTAGTCCAGAAGTTGATTGAGAGCATGCCAGGGAGAATTGCAGAGGTCCTGAAGAATAGGGGTCAACACTGCAAATACTGACTTGTTGCATTAACTCATTCTAACTGTCATTAAAAGCTTTTGTTACTCATAATATGATTGCAATTGTATTTCTGTATGTGATGACAACATCTGACATACACGCATGAAAACCAGAGGGCAGCAGATCATGTGAAAATATAGTATTTGTGTCATTCTAAATACTTTTGGCCATTACTGTACTCCTTGATCCATCTCCCACATATACTCCTCCTTTGCAGTTCCTCAGTGCTGGATTCTCCTCATTTCTTCTTGTATGTTTCACCCGAGTGACTCTAGTTTTTGGTTTCTGAGTTCCTAGCATATTTATTCTAGATTTATGTTTTTGTACCAGTTACTTCACCATTAAAACTGTAAGAACCATCTCTGCCTCCTCTACTCTGCATTTAGGTCCACAACAACAACATCCACTGACCCTGACACTTATAAAATAAGTGAAGTGCTCTATTAAATAAAAACATTAGAATCTAAAAAAGAAGAATATTTGGTCCTGCTACCAGTTCATCATCACTTACACATCTATGTTGGTACCTACCTGCTCATAGGTAACTGGTGTCTGTTTCATATTGGACAGCTCCATGAGGGTGCACACATCCGTACGAAGGTCGATCTTACAGCCAATCAACAGAATTCGCGTGCTTGGACAGAAGTCCAGAATTTCACTTTTCCACTGTTGATAGAGGGATGATTATTGACCTCTTTTGAATATTGTGTATAGAATGGGGTTATTAATACAATAATAAAAATATAAAACAAATTTTACCTTTTTGAGACTGCTGTCCATTGTGTCTGGGCGGCTGATGTCAAAACACAACAGGACTGCGTCAGAGTCACTGTAGCATAGGGGTCTTACATTGTCATAGTATGGAGAACCTTTCAGGACAAAAAGAACGTATAGACAAAAGTAGGTCATCTAGTATTAACAGGAGATGGAGAAAAATGTGTTTGTGCCTATGCATGTGTGCAGGAGGTCAGCATGTGACATGTAAACTCACTCAGCACACCTCAAAGCAGTGTTTCCCAACTGGGGGATTAGTATACCCCTAGTGGTCTGCGGTGGTGTTGCAAGGGGTACATGAAAATATTAAATTTATCAGGTAATAAAATAGGGCTGGGATCTGCTTTGCTTTCTAAGGACGCAATTAATAAACTAAACAAGCTTTTATCAACCAAAAAGTAAGTTTTTCTTATATGTTTGTTCACCTTCAGCTTAACATATATCAAAACCAAGCAGAGGAACAGACTGGATGTAGAGAACCAGCCTGGTATCAGTTGTTTTTTACAATGAGCTATCAGAGCTCATCGAAGCAGCTCAGGTGTGTTGATGAAAACAAAATAACACTAATTAAGTTAGTCTGACTACAATTTTTTTTTCACTTTTTTGTTCCAATTCATAAAGTTTAATAATATGATTATAAGGGAGTGACTCAGAGGGGCTCCGGTTTTATAAATAAAGGTTTAATATGATTTTATTTTGTATTTATTTCGATTCCTTACTAACTTGCAGGCAACATATTTATGTTGTTTTTATGTTATGTTTTATTTGAGATGGAAAGCATAAAATTTAATTCAACGCTCAAATTAAAGATAAGTAAAATAGTCTTTATTTAAGTTATTGTACGTTCCACTTTTGGACAATCATCCATACTGAGAGGGGTACTCAATGCACGACAAAATGCCCAAAGGGGAACACAAGTCTAAAAAGATTTGGAAACATTGCCTTAAAGAAAGTAAATGTGTGTATGGAATGCATATTTAGGGTCTAAGGAGTGCAGCAGGAGCAGAGGTAAACCATCATCTAGCGGAGACGATTTCATAGCATCTTTTGAGAAAATGTGATGCACTCATAAACGTTTTTGATGGTTCTATGTTAATGCTTTGACTAATTCAACAGGAGATGTTTCCTGTGGTGCCGTTTGGGGAAGGTTATGGGAATATTCAGCTGCAAGGTCACAAATTCTGAGACTTTGGTGTATTTTCCTATTATTGGTCAGACATCTAGATCTAAGCTGGGAATACAATGAGAACATCCTTTAAATGCCAACTGGTAGACTCTGACACCACAGATTTATCATATTATCTGTTACATAAATATAAAGCCAAGGGGGAAATTGTGTTTACTACAAAGAAATAAAAAATGGATGTATAGCGTACCTAAAACTTAAGAGGTGTTCTCCTGTTTAGCCTCTTTTGTTGAAGGTAACTAAAGCAGTGTTGAATATTAAGTATTGTGCTTCATTCATTCATTGCCAAAATTCAAACAAATGAGTGATTGGTGGCCATGTCTTATCAAAATGGAAATCCATTATTAATAGAGCAATATCCCCAGCAATAATAATATATAAAGATTCCAAGACAACTTTTGGTCTGTTAGTATATTTAGCTACTTATTCTACCATTTGTATCCTTTGTTGTCGTCTGCCCTCCAATCCTGAACTATGAAATATAAGTGAACATAATGACAGGCACCGGTCCATAACACGGTAATAACTGTACTATCATCCCTAAATAGTTGCCACTTAGTAAAAAGATGACAGACTTATCAGAATTGTATGCCTTTGAAGTGATGACTTCCAAGGGCCTTAAACTGCAGCCTTTCCAAGTTCCTGATTTATCTATCTGTGATAAAATCCCTATTTATAGTGCTTTACCAGTTTATGTCTAAAGAGAAACAAGTGGGGATTTATTTCAGCTGTTTCCATAACATTTCATAAAAGCTCCTACTTTGCTTTATTTGTAATGCAAAGTTTGTGTTGAACTGCTATATTTTGCAGTCATCACCATAGAGTGAAAGTTCTTTCGAGATGATTGCAGATGTTTTAAGACATGATTATCACTATTTGTTAAGAAAACATATAAAGTAATTAGTAGGTCAGCTCACCAACTAATTACTATTATAGTAAGACAAAATAGTATCATTCTTTAGCGACAATGCATAACTGCCTTCAAATCCTCTGGCTTAGATTTACTTTTCAGTTCTTGGAGCTGCTGTTTCCCCTGCTGCTATATCCTCTGCTGGCAATCCAGAGGCAGGAGAAGATGACAACGGTCACTAAATCTTCATTGATCTTTCCTAGCACTAGATTATGCAAGTGGAACGGTGGGGTTTGGGCCAGGCAGACGCTCCCACTCATGCTCAGAATCCTTAAGTAAGCCACCCACCCCCCAAAAATCCTATGCTCAACAAGCAGTACCTCCAGTCCCTGTTTCCACAGCAACAACCTCAGAATCCACCATCTACATCAGCCTTTCCTCCTCCTCCTCCTCCTCCTCCTCCTCTCACCTCTCCATAAAGGCTGGCCTTAGGTGCCAGTCAATCACTTCAGACCAGAACAACGAACCCACCCACCAACTGTTGGGGACATTCCTGCTCTGCAACAGAAACACACACGTGGCAGAGAAAAAAAAAGAAAAGAAAAGACACACCTGATTACGCACAAACTCGCTTTCTAAATTTGGCTGCATTCGGAGGTGAGCCCAATCTTTTATATGATGAAACAGAAGAAGGGGCTTCTCAGGGGGATTAAATGTTTACTTCAGTCTCAGCATGGATCCCAAAGGGGATTCAGACCTCCTTTTATCACCGCAGATAAGAAAAACAGTGTGTGTAATTACTCATTAGATATTACACAGCCATCCAGATTGTTTTATTCACAGGAACATCGGAAGAAAACAATAAAACACAAACATGGATGGGTGCATGTGAAGCAGTCGCATGAATATTTAATGATTCTTCACATTATCAAAGGTTGAAAGTGAATTTGCCAGCTGCCGGGCGATGTGAGAAGAGTAATGACAAGCTCTGATGAAATTCCTTAGGAATCAATGTCCTGAAGAATGTAAACAATATTGGAAAAGAATAAAAGAACAAGCTTTTCCATTCTACCTGTGGTTATGCCCTTTAGAAATAACAATGCTCTCTAAACAGCTCTTAGACAAACATTATAAAAAAAATTCTCAAAAGAAATTCTGACATAATGTCTAATCTTGATTTTTTTATTTCTAATAGTCTTCTCTTTAGAATTATAGGTAAAAATGTACCTTGTTTTATTAATCAAACAAACAATGTCAACAAATATGAGCATTCTGATTAAAAAAAGCTAAGATACCCAACCACTTAACAGATACACTCTTTTCCAAATGACATTAGTAGGAAGCTTATTTTAACCACTGAAAAACAGATGCTGGCTTACAGTATATTCTCCGCCATCAGTCTGATAAAAGTTTCCCCCACTCCTTAATTTGAGCTGCAAGATGTTTGATGGGTTACTTTCATGTACAGCCTTTTTCAGGTCACCCTACATCTCATCAGTACCCTCAGGGTCTGAGCTTTCATTCTCAGACAGTCTTTGGTGGATTTATTGAGCTGTATGCTTTAGGCCAGTCATGTTTCAGGGACAACTCTCTGCTTCACCCCCAGGTTTCTTAGGCTACCTTCACACTGCAGGCCTTGATGCTCAATTCCAATTGTGAAATCCGATTTTATTGCTTTGCAGTTCACATTTCCAAATATATGCAACTTGTATGTGATCTCTTGTGTGAACTGCAGTCATACAACGCAAGTGTCCTGCATGCGCAGTAGAGGACGCAATGACGTCACAGGCCAGCGTGCTCTGTGTTAACGCCAGTAAACATGGATGGTAGTGCCAGAGCCCATCTAGAAATCTTTTCAAGACGGTTAAACATAAATACTGCGCTCCGCATCAACGTCTGCCATGGTTGTTGTTTTTTTGCCACTTCTGCATAGCGAGACCTAGAAAAGTGACCTTTGTCGGGTATTAATGGTGTTCAGGTCGGATGAATGCGACTTGGCTGTTCAGACACAGGTCGCATTTAAAAAGATTAGATTCGTATCGGATTCAGGACACATAGCCAAGTGGCCTGGGTCGCATTGGAAAACATCGGATCTGAGTTGTTCAGACTGTCATGAAAAGATCAGATTCAGGTCGCACATGGGCCAAAAAAACGGATTTGGGTCACCTCAGGCTGCATTGTGAACGTAGCCTAACAGATCGTTTTCAGTTTCACTCAAGCTCCCTTTAATTCAGAGTAGATTTCATGGTGGACTCTAGGAACCTGGACCTGCCAGGGAGCGCTTCAGGAAAATATTCTCAAACCATAACACCTTACCCACTATGCTTCACAATTAGTGGTGGTACTGATGAGGGAAGCATCTAGCAATTTTATTTTGAAAATCCTTGAACCACATTGAGCCATCAAGGAAATATCCATGCCAGCCAACACAGAGGAGCAAGAGTCTGTCCCACTGTATGGAAGATTAAACATTTAGCTTTGACCACTATAGTGCCACTATAATTGTAATTTGAAGGAAGGGTCACATGTCAGAAACAAAAGTTTGCATTTAATGGCTGTAAAAATCAACACACATTTGAATCAGAACAATTAACCACAGTATAAGGCTGAAGATGTGTTTGAGCGTTCCTTATCTATCATGTAGGAGAGTCTGCAGGGTGCTCTTAAAATCTCCTCCTCCTCCAGTAAGAGGTTATCTTACAGCCAGGAAACAGGATGTGATTCTGCATTAAACAACCCTTGATCTAAATGCAGCAATCAATAGAGGGCTGCACTGGGGGAGGGGGGCTGAGAGTCCCTGCATCTAAGGCTTACAAATAAGTTATCTTGCCAACATAGAGGGAGAGAGATAAAAGATCAACTAGGATGTTTCAACCTCCCCATTTTAGATCTCTACTGCTACAAGCTGAGGAATGTATTGGACTGTCAGATCAATGCCCATGCAGTGATAAGCAAGGCCAAATGCTTCCTCTCCTCTCGTTCCCAACAGCCATCCACTGCAACAGATGGAAAATTTCTGAGGCATGAAACATGCGGAGTGAAGCAGACTAACTGGGGGA